ACAGGAAGAAGAGGGGACACGTGTTGATGTAGAAGAGACATGAAGAAGAGGGGACACATGTTGATGTAGAAGAGACATGAAGAAGAGGGGACACGTGTTGATGTAGAAGAGACATGAAGAAGAGGGGACACATGTTGATGTAGAAGAGACATGAAGAAGAGGGGACACGTGTTGATGTAGAAGAGACATGAAGAAGAGGGGACACATGTTGATGTAGAAGAGACAGGAAGAAGAGGGGACACGTGTTGATGTAGAAGAGACATGAAGAAGAGGGGACACATGTTGATGTAGAAGAGACATGAAGAAGAGGGGACACGTGTTGATGTAGAAGAGACATGAAGAAGAGGGGACACATGTTGATGTAGAAGAGACATGAAGAAGAGGGGACACGTGTTGATGTAGAAGAGACATGAAGAAGAGGGGACACGTGTTGATGTAGAAGAGACATGAAGAAGAGGGGACACATGTTGATGTAGAAGAGACATGAAGAAGTGCATTTTCTCGAAAACTGTACATGTCTTGTGTCCATGAATGCAGAAAATCTCATAATTCATCCATTACTATATGTAGTAATAGTAGTGGTTTTCGTTAATGCTTCTTCCCTTCGTGTCCCTGCAGGTTCTCTACCTGATCTTCACAATCGTGCTCCTCTTCTGGGCCTGTTTCCTTCCCTTCTGGATCTGGCAGCTCCTGGGTCAGTTCCGCCCGTCCCTATCCCTCTCCAATAAAGCCAAGCGCAACATCAACTACCTGACCACGTGTCTGACGTACTCCAACAGCTGCATCAACCCCTTCCTGTACACGCTGCTCACCAAGAACTACAAGGAGTATCTGAGGAAGCACAAGCGCTCGTGGTCCGCCAGCAGCTACTTCAGCCGCAAGAGTCGATTCCAGCGCTCGCCGCGCAGGTCGCCGTCTTCCAGCAGCCAACAGTGCACCGAGAGCTTCATGCTCACACACACTGCCTCGCTGAGGATACACAACAGCAGCTTGTAAAGGTAGGAGGAAGCTTTTCTGACTGTGTTCGTTAGCCAAAATCGAACTAATCTAAATACCAGATGGAATGCACGCTAAAGGCTCTTTGAGCATGTTTTCTCTCAGTGATTGTTATGTTAAATGTTTGTTGTCAGCAGACCATAATAACCTGTCCAACAACATGATCTGGGACCCCAAGCATGCTCTGAACAGAGGATATGAACTGCTACCATCTAATGGAGACTCAATAAAGTCAGCCTGAAGCATCCTCTGTGCTCCAGTCGATCCTCTCAGTAAACAGCTACAGATCAAATGCACGCTGAAGGCTCTTTGAGCTTCTCTCACTGATCCTGCTGTTATGTTCAATGTTTGTTTTCCATGTATTGTGTTTTGATATTTGTCTGTTGATGTTCCACATGGAGCTGCTGTGATGCAAGGAGCATTTCAGACTTGATCTGACCATTAAAGTATTATCGTATGGTATCGAAAAGAGAAAACCAATCTCTTCTCATTAAACTACATACTCAGGGAGTGTTCGTCCACCAATCAGTAGTTCCCTGCCAACTTCCTCGTTAGCTTACAGAAGTGTCAACACAACAGCAGTCAAACAAACAAAAATACAAATAATTGTACATAATTATACATAGCCACAGGCATAGTTTAATTATACTTTATCATACGGAGATGATTGTTTAGCAACCTTTTGAATTGTACATGAGAATTTGAATGACATGGACCGGTAAAGAGTAACGGTCAAAAAGTTGAGTTTGGAAAGTTTGACACTCCTAACACTCAACAACCGCCATCTTGGCTACGTGGCTGAAGATATGCTAGCAGCCGTAATTGCTGTAGCTTCGTTAAACCTGTCAATAATTAGATAAAAGTTATACATATATGTGAGTTTTTTTTTACTTTTAAAGAGATACACGCCACTATGTCGGTGTCAACTCTCAATTTTTTTGGGGGGGGGTTCATTTAGAAGCCTGTAATTAATTGTTACCACAAATAATTGCTGCTAGCATCATCATCAACCTTTAATTGATTCATAAGTTGACAAGAAATGTAAGTACAATCATAAGACGTGTGAAATGAACACCCCAATAAGCGATATGAAGCTTGTCATGTCTGACTCAGACTCGACTAAATCAGCACAAAATGATATCCTGTGCTGCTGCATTGATTACATTGTGTTGAACATGTTTCAATATATTAGAATATCCAAAAAGAGCTAGCTATCCCTTCTAGTGAGGGGATAGCAATTTGACAACACTACAAAATGCACAACCTGCATAAGTTCACAGTGTACGACATGCAAGGTACTAAGGGACGTTTTTAAATTGAAGTGAAGCCTCTGACTCGGTTTGAATGTGTGTGAATGCTGATTTGTAAATGAAAACGCGCTTTAAGGGTCGCAAGGGCTAGAGAAGTGCTTTAGAAATGCAGTCTATTTACAATGAACCTCCTCTCTAAACACAGCTCAGTCCTACAGCTATTCTCCCATCTTAATACACTTCAGCTTCCTCACGTGGATGTTTCAGACTGGGAGGCTTTGTTGGAGTTTTCTATCAGAGGAACTGCTGGTTCTGCTGTGATTACAGATGGCATAGATTTCTGAGCATCTTGAAAGATGACTGTTTAGGGTTTCTACTTCCTGTTATGCAAGGGTTGGACAAGTGGTGCCTCTCTTGGTGTTTATGTATGGAACTGGGTGAGCTGGTGAAACATGTTCAGAAACAATAAATATTCAATGGAAAAGGAAAAGTTTCAGCACAGCAACGAGAGTCTGTCAATACACTTTTTGTGGTTTTCAGGGAACGAGCTTTCCTCCAGGGAGCTCAACGTACGAGTAAATCAAACCATTAATTAGAGATGACATCGGCTGCATCTCACTTCGGTTAAATGGATTCCTTGCGTCCCTCACTTGCGTCGTTTCCCTGCGACTAGTCCCTCCCACCAGGGAAGCATGGAGAGACGCAAGGAAACCACGAGAAGCAGGGAAATTAGTTTTAAGAGCAATGGGACGTCGTTCCCTCCGGAGCGTCACGTGAAGCGACGTCCGTTTGTGATGACGCCGCACAGCTGATCGTCTGACAGCAGCCAGATCAGTGCATGCGCTGCATCGTCCAATCAGTGAGCGATACACAGTAAGGGGGCGGGGCGAGTGTCTGAGGATTTCACCGGAGGATGGTCTGGTAGTTCCTCGATTATCGCTCCTCCGTTATCGCTCCTCGGTCCTCCAGCAAAAATAAGGCCACTGGGACGCTACTCAAGATGGCGCAGACAAATCAACTTCCGGTGATATCGAGCCCGAGGAGCGAGGAAATGAAAAATAACCGAAGTAAGACGCACCCATAGTTCCATCTTTATATGCATGGAAAGGATCATCAATTATCACAAGTATCTGATAGATCTTCTATTTAGGTCACTCTTGATTTCTTGATGGCACTATACCACTGAGGTTTGACCACATTCAATCAACATTTGAGCTGTAGCTAATAAGGATTAATTATATTTGGTATAAGTCAATAAAAGTGATTTTTGTCTGGGGTCTGTGAAGCCTTTCCTCAAAGCTGGATGACAGGATGACTTGTTCGATGATAGGATAATAATAAAGAAAATATGCCATTTATTATTTAGTTTTTGTCTGGATTATTAGAAGAAAATACAAATGCTTTTCCCTTGATGTCTTAAAATAAGTTGGAATAGTATTAAAAGGAAACCAGAAACATCTCGTCTTTTGCTTTTATTGTTATTATTGCATTGACTATCGTTCCTTAAACATTATTATAAGCTTGTTATGGTAACATCTCTGGGACTTATGGGATCGAGGGGTTGTAAAGATGTCTGTTAAACTACAAATTGATTGAAAATACCAACAAATGAAATTGCAAAGACACTTGCAGGGAAATCATGCTGGATGTTTAAGCTTAAATTACATTTTTAAATGCACATCCCCTCGAGGTATTAAACCTAATGTATTGTCTTGTTACATGTATTTTCTGCAGTGATACCATTTTGTGTTTCTCATTTCCATAAATAAAACAAATAAGGTATTCAACAGACTTTACATTCTACATTTTGTGGCAATTACATTTCCACTTCTCAATTATGTTGACTATTATCCCTCGAATATCTCCTGCATTTAAAACTTTAAAGTGGACCTATCATGCTATATTTGAATAATATAGTGTAGGACCATACCTATATAAGGCATATTTATACTTTTTTTTTTTCAAAATACCAAACAGATCATGCATTTTAGCCATGCCTCATTTCGCTCAATTTGACATTTTTTAGCTCTGTTTTTGAAAGGGCAGATTCTGTGAGACAGCACCATCTACAGACCTATGTACTACAGCGTCTCCAGCGCTTTGAACGGCAATGGCCGTGGCTGTCTCCTCCTGATTGGTGGAGTTGGCCCAATAGCCGTAGCGCCACCGTCCTGACGTCAGGACAGTGTTCAAATCTGGATCAGTTTTTATCAGATCCGTTGCAGCCCCTTTTTTAGAGATTTGGGTATGGAGGAAAATAGAGAGGGTTGTGTTTTCTGACACTTGGTGAGTTCCCTGGAACACCGGGGACACATATTCATGTATAAAAGACGTACAAAACTGCATTTTGCATGATAGGTCCCCTTTAAATGTATATTCTTAATAGTTGTTTAAATGGCTTCAATGGTCCCTTTTCTTTCTAGTTTTGGTAAACCCATCAATAATTAGATAAAAGTAATTGTTCTCATTATGTTGGGTTAATTTAGCAGCGTGTAAAGATTTGTTATTACAAACAATTGCTGCTATCATCAGTTATTTTAATACTGCAATTGGGATGTTTGAATTTTGTAAGACTACTGATTTTCTTTGGTTTTATTCTAGCTTTTCTTCGCAGAATCACCAAATGCCCACCTGCTTGCATTACAAAATGAATTAGTATATTATGTATATAGTACAAGTATATTGTTGTGTATTTATATAAGTGTTTCTGCACCTGTCTCAAGCATTACATGGGTTTTGGATGTTGGTTTGAATGTGGCGTGCAGAGGAAGACGAATATAAAAGTGCAGCAGAGAAGAACGAAGGCAGGGGACAAGGGGGAGGGTTGGCTGGACACACACACACACACACACACACACACACACACACACACACATACACCCCCCCCCCCCACACACACACACACACACACCACTAACTTGCCACTTACAGAGTTGGGTTGCACAGCCATAAATCTGTCATGCAAGCCAGCTGACACACAACAGAGAGGACTTTTCTGCACACGGTGACATCTGCTAGAATAATAGTTAAAAAAAACGTGGATCATAAATAAATCCAGCGCGGCACAGCAGGACGTTATGCGTTTATCGTTTTCCCCCCCATAACCTCATCAATGACTCTAGACTGTTTTATGTCAGCAATAATATCACTTTTCATTCCAATGCATCCCACAAGACGGAAAAAAGAAAGGAAAAATCCAATATTTACTATCCAGTTCATAACTTCGCACTCAGCTAATAGTGCTCTACCCCTTGATTGTGTGCGTGTGTGCGTGTGCGTTTGTGTGTGTGTGTGTGTGTGTGTGTGTCTCCAGGATGCCTGCAGAGACACAGTAACAGTGAGTTGTATTTTACTGCTCTGCCTTGGAATACAATGTGCTGAGTGACATCGACCATAATTCACACGGACAGGGAATATGGCCCCATATGTGCCTCTGAACACATGAGCAGTATTTCTCCAGCACTCTCACTGTGACGGTAACAAGAAGTATAAAGGATTCTGGTTTGGAACGATGTCATAAAAACGCCGTATCTGATTCAAGGAATATGTTTTTACTGTTTTACCTGGAAGTTAATGCAAGCTAGCAAATCCACGAAAAGAGGAGAGATTTTGATTTTGCTACTGAGAAATGAACCTCCCAGTGTCTCCAATTTGTTGTTGTTGGCTGCATTCACAATAATGCAAAAATGCACAATTTGTCGTTTCCTCTGACGCCCTAAAATACAGATTTCTGACTCTATTTTTGTTTGTCA